GGACCGAATGATCAGCGGAAGGAGGCCAACCTACGGGACTGTAAACACGGACTAGTAAGTACATTGATCCTAAACGTAAACTTTAAAAAGGATACAATCTTTGTACACTAACGTATCTCCTCGAGATGACAAAATAAATAGCTGAGACAGCATCTGATGACTTGGAATACAAATGAGCGAGAAAGTTGTGAATCTGGTTTTTCACAACGCCAGACACCATTTTGTCGTAAAAGGGTAAGTAACACGCAAAAGCAAGCTACGTGCTTATGATATCATTATAGAAGAGTGCCATGATTAAAATTATCGCACAAAAATGCTAAAATTATCAAGAATAAAATTAAATAACTCTTAATTTTTACTTTATTATAAATTTTTATTTTCGCTTCGTATGGTGAGTGCCGTAAAAGAGTAAGGGCTGAAACAACAAATCATTCTTTCCAAGATGGCCGGGGGAAAGTCGAAGTCTCGTCGTTCCAGGCGTGGCGGTCGCCAACGGCACATTAAAGTAAACGAAAACCCAATAGAATTTAGCAGTAATGGTGGACATGCAAATCATGTACTGGAACAGCTCAATTTACAGCGACTGCATGGAGGTTTGTGTGACGTTGCTCTAGTTGTTGGTGGCCGTAAGTTCGATGCTCATAGGAACGTATTAGCTGCCTGTAGCCAGTATTTCAAGTCAATGTTCGAAAATGGTCGCTTCCGCGAAAGCAAACAGAAGGAAGTCAAGATTCAGTCACTGGACGCCGAAGCTATTGAAATATTACTAGAGTATATGTATACTGATTCTATCACAATCACCTTTTCCAACGTAGAGGGCATCATTGCGGCGTCTGATTTGTTCCTAATCCAGGCGGTCAGGGACTACTGTGCCAACTATTGGACTCAAACTTTGTGTGTGGATAATGTACTGAGTGCTTACAAAAATGCTGACATTTACAATTTGTCACAGCTGCGAGACGAAGCAGAGGCTTTTCTCAGTAAACACTTTACTGAGATTGTCGAAAGCAACGAATTTGTCAACTACCCCTATGAAGTGGTTGTCGTAATGATAAAAAGTGACTTGATTGACGTCGACGAAAAAGATGTATTTCTCGCCGTCAAGAAATGGGTAATGCATGCAAAGGAGCGAGTATCGTTGTTGGATGACTTGATGTCTCGTATTCGATTGCCATTAATGCCGGCTGCGGATCTTATTGAGTGTGTAAACGTAGAGCCATTAGTGTTGAAGTCTGAGTGGTGTCAAGCATTGGTGCAAGAAGCCATGAATTATCAGTTGCTGCCAAACAAGCAAGGAGAACTGCAGACACCTCGTAGTCGACCAAGATATGTAAATCTGGATGAAATGATCTTTGCTGTTGGTGTAACAGGAACTGAAGGACACATACCCGATATGTTATTGACGAAGTGTTACATTCCACGACATAACGCATGGTATTCTTTGGCTACTTTGCATGCTGTATCATTACGTGGTCTGACTTTTTGCAATGGCCTTCTGTATGCATTATGTTTCAACACGGAAAATGAACAGTTAGACCTGTACATGTATGATATTGTGAGCAATGCTTGGTCGGATGGCCCGAGTATCAATAAATCTAATCATGTCATTCGACGCAGTATACAACTGTCCAATACTTGGGTGCAGCTAATTGAATGCAGGCAAAAGGTATATGTGATGATCAGTGTAGTTTGCAACCATAATCAAGGAGTGGTATCATCAGTTTTGTGTTACGATCCTAGCCCTAAAACCTGGAAGTCTCTTCCTTGTTTTCACACTGAGAGGTTGTATTATTCCGCTGCGGCAACTGATATTGGTATATACTTGATAGGCGGGAAAATTCCTCTCGGGGAAGGAATGTCTGATGTAGAGTTTTTTGATCCTGACACAGAAACATGGTCAGTTAAGTCAGAAATGCATTTACCCAGGCATAGCATGAATATTTGTTTTTGGTCTCCAGAGCGAGGTATTCTCGTTTCTGATTATGAATGTAGAGATCCAGATGTATATTATACCCAACAAGATAGATGGACTTCCTTCAGCGATGAAGCTGAACTGTGTGATTCATTGCCTGTTTTTTTTACAGACTGCCCCGGTGGCAATGAGATGTTATCCACGTATTCACCAGCTATGGATACTATTTATGCCACATGCGAAGCCAGCTTTGATGATACACTTGCTACTTGGTACAAGTTTAGCTTTTACGAAAAACGTTGGGAAGCATGTGCATCTTTGCCGCAGTTATTAATGCCATATTTGTGTGCTGTTCGTTGAGGTTCTGACAAAATCCTCTTTTCACCTGATCTTGCTAGTGAAAAAAAAATTATGCTGAGAATATACTGGTTAAGTACAATATTACCTACTTTTCAATACTTGTATATGATTTCTATGTACTTACAATTATATTCCCCTTCGTTAGAGTTATTTTAAAAATGATGTACATGTAAATAAAAAAAATGTTTACCTATTACATGCATTTCATTTTTAAGCAGATATTCTATTGCATACACTAAGTGGAAGTACATTGATCCTTCTTTTATTGGAATGACTTCCCAAATGTTGCATTGAACAACTCACTAAAGTAACGTCTATTTACTAGGGATTCTCTAATATTGTATTTTGTTGTAATTTTTCAGTCCTAAGGGAATCTTAATCTTTAAATTACAACATACATCTCAAAATATCAGAGAATTATTAAAACCAGTGCTTCCAAGTTGTGTACTTACTTGGTCAAAAACAAATAGCTAGGCCAAGGTATTGAAATTGAAAAAAAAATGAAAGACCTTAGTTACTGTAGAGATGATAGAAGTATGTAACCCATATCAGTGCTCCCCCAGCGATATGTCAAAGCTTGGTAAATAATGAGCATATTATAATTCATAATGAGCATATTTCATTTTTTTTACAATAGAAATAATTGCCTTGTCAGTCACTTGTTTTGAATATTCAGTGATAGTATTTCTGTGACTAATCATGGTAAAACTGTCCTACACAAGATCTGTAGAGACAGATTTATATTTAGTACTTAAGTAGTGTATTAGAGTGGAAGAATTCGCAAAACTAAGGTAATATCAAAGAAAGCTTAGAAAGAACTCCCATGTGCTGAGAGTATTGGAGACACATTAAATATAATTT